TGGGACACACTGATTAGTCATTTCTGTCCCCAAGCGTCTTTCCAGTTTGGGTCATTCCATTCGTTTGTTTGCTTCTTTCCCTTTTTGTCTTTTTCCGGTCTGGGCTTGGTGCTGAGAATTCTTTTGGGGTAAAAGCGACCGTTCCCTCTCCTCGGGGTATTAAGGTTAGTTTGTTTCCTCTGGGATTTCCCAGCGTACAGGGATCAAGTTATTTGGCTTTTGTTTTTATTTCTTGTTTTTCTTTGGCTAAGCAGAATGCAAATCATGGATGGATGGTTGTGGTATGTGGTTGGGGGTGCGTAAAGGCGGATAAGAGGGGGTGTGGGGGGGGGGGGGAAGGGGAGAAGAACCCCTGGACTGTAAGGATACCTAACGAATGGATTGTGGTTTTCTTTTCTTTTTTCTTTTTCTGTTGTTCACCTTTATGCTGTTCCTGATTTTCCATACATAGTATTAGTATTATCTGTCTACCTTACCATGAGGATAAGGGGCTGAAGAAAGGGGGGTTATCAAGTTTGGATGAAGATATGGTTAGATTCCCATTGAAGATGTTTTTTCTGCTTCCCTTTTGTGACTGTGTAATTAATGTGTTGTGTTATTTGTTTTGGTTTCAAACTCTCTCCCTCAGCAAACCCCAACTCGGGCCAAACCATAGACCTTGACTCTTCCCAATCTCGGGATTAGTACTACTGTCCCTCGAACCAGGAACATGCGCTTCCAGAAGGAGCCCTTAGTATGGAAAAAGAAAAAAAAACCACTCGACCATGGAATCAAGCACTGGACATCAGATGTCACTGCGAAAGGAATTTTTTCGCATCCACATTGCGGTATCGGTATGGAGAGTGAAAAATAAAATAAAAACATCTGATAGATGACTTTGTTCGGTGTATGGCTGGTGGACGGTGGAGTGAGATTGGTAAATGGGGGAGGGAAGGGTACGGGATGTGGTGGAATGCCGGAGGGAGGTGGAGAAGGGGGGTTGGAGAGGCAGAGGTATGCGGCAAGTTTTGTCTTTGCTGTGTTGGCCTGTTGTGTTGGAAGAAGAAGAAGAAGAAGAAGAAGAAGAAGAAGGAGAAGAAGAAGAAGAGGGAAGCTCACACCTTGGGGGGGTTGGGTTTTAGATAAGGGGGGAGTATAATGAGGCAAAAAGCGCCAAGGTTTTGTTCGAGGTCCCGGGGAAAAAAAGCTGGTGAAAAAATGGTCGGGGCTGAGTTGATGGAGGAGGTGATGTCTGGTCGTTGGTTGTTTATGGATTTTATGGGTCATACCTTGGCAATAAGGGAACGAAGGGTACGGGGGGGGTTGACAGGGGAGGGGGCCATTTCGACGACGGTCATACCAGCGAGAAAGACTCGAGTTTAAATCTAGGAACTATTGAGCAACTCGTAAAACTCTTCAGACAGGGCGAGATCCCAATTCTACCTCACGACATGGTGTCATCCCAGCATGTTCAAGTTGGGTGATAGGAGGCGAGGCTGTGCCACCAACTTTGTAAAAGCCAACAGAGTGGAAGGAGTGATGTCCAGGATGGGTGTAGATATGATGTGCTGTGAGATGTAGATATGGTGCTGTTGTGAATGGAAGAGTGGTAATAATGTGTTATTGTGGTAAGGGGGTAATGTGCTTAGTAATGTGTAAAAAGGGGGGAATGTGTTAGAGTGTTAATGGCAGAACTGTGCAGCTAGAACATGGTCAAGCAGGCAACAAAAGGAAGGAACGTGTGGTGGTGATGAAGCGGTAACCTGGTTAGGGGCAAAAGAGGGAGGCAATGTCTAAGTAAATCTCAGCATTTGTAGACCTTTGACAATGGTCTCGAACCTCACCGGGAAAGTGAAGAAACCCAAATGTTTATTTTCGACAGCCGCTATCACATCTATCGAGACTCTCCCTAAATAACACCGTAGGTGTTACTTTTACCCCTGCTTGACCTAACGCCCAGAGCCAGAAAGTGGTCTCTCGGCAGACATCTTCCTTTTTCGCTTTGAATCATACTTACTCCCGCTCCGAAGCAGAATGGAATAACAACAACTAGTTCAACATGCTTATGCCTTTACATCCACCACCCAAACAGTTTGCTGCTATATATATATATATATACATATATGCCCAGTCATCCACCCATAACATCCCTCCATTATCCTTTCAAACCAGCAAAACACAAATAACAAAGCTTATTCCCGAGAAGAAACGTCAAGAAATGCCCCCCTCTGATACCTTTCCCCCAGCCATAACCCCGGTTCCATCTGTCCGTTTCCCTAACCCTCAAGCAGGCCGGCAATAATTCGCCGGAAAGCTCCCCCTAACCCCCCTCAACTCCCCCACCCACCAATCCTGGTCCGTCCGCGTCTTGGTCACCACCTTGATCCGCTCCCCTTCATCAAAACTCAGATCTCCCTGCCCCTGCCCAGCAAACGGGTACAGCGCGACAACCCACTGCTCCTGCACCAACGCGGGCTTCTTCGGCGGCGGTGGAGGAGGAGGCCGTTTCTTCACCACCAACCCCCCGTTGACCATAATACTTCCCACCGCTGGATTTGGCGAAACAGACCGCTCACGGGCCGGCTTTGAACGATCGATATTCGCTCCGCCGAGGTGAGACGCCGTGGTGAATTCTGTCGGGTTGGCCCATTCCGGTCGGCGGGAGCTGAAAGACGAAGGGGGTGTTGTTGCCGGGGATCGGGAGGGAGAGGGTGGTTTGAGGGCGTGAGATGATGGGATCCGCATGGGGCGGGGTTGGAGGCTGTTGCTGCTGCTGTTGGTGCTGGGGATGAGGCCAGAAGGCGTGCGCCTGTAGCCGTTGGAAGGTGGAGGTTGGGTGTAGCCGCCTTTGTGGCGGATGAAACTGATGTGTTCGATTTGGGATTGGACGGGGCTGCAGGCGGCGTTCCAGACTGCAATCACGTCTTCCATTGGGGGTGCCGGCGAGGGGAAGTTGGAGTCCTCGCAGTAGTTGTGGAGGGTGGTGTAATAGAGGCCCAGAAGCCTGTTCTGGATGAGGACCAGAGCAGCGAGGAGGGGAGGGACGATGCTGAAGGTCGCCTCGACAATAGGGGGCAGCGTTTGGCGGAGGTGCTCATCTGCTATGTTGAACTCCTAGATGGGAATTAGTCATGAGAGATCCGAGAGCAACACTTGGCTCTGGGGCTGGCTCACATCAGCCACACGAGATAACTCATCCTGACACTTTGCAAGAGATGCATCTTCCTTGGCGTTGCGTCCGGGTTTTCGTTGGAGCTTCAGCGTCTTGTCCTGGACCTTTTCGTAGTCCAGTCTTTTGTTCTCGCGCTTCTTGATCGTCTTGCGAATGGGGGTGATGTAGGACCGAGCATCCGTTGCCGGCCTCAGAATCCGTTCCTCAATGGCCACAATCTCTTGCAACAGTTCTGTCTTGAGGTCGCCATACGTTTCCTTCAAACGGAGAGTGCGTTCTAGCTGTAACTGAGGGGTCGGTGCTGCCTCACGGCCATGGCCATCCGTGGCTCCCACAATGGGATCATACAGGCCCTCGAACTCAACCACCATGTTGTGTTGCGAGTTGATCAGGGAATCCCACGAGTCTCTCCATGCACGAGCATTCTCAATCAGCTACTTCTAATATCAGTCATGATTGCACTGCCACCATCGCGGATTCGATCAACTTACCGTAGCAAGAACCTTGTCTGCATCCTCATAATCCTTCAGGAGAACAGACACTTTGGCATTGTCTCCGGGGCCCTTGTTCAAGAGCTTGCCAAACTGTCTTTGCATTGACTGCATGATGGCGTTTCGACTTCACCACGGTGTGGATGCCTGGTGAGAATCCGAAAAAGGGGGAAACCAGGTTTTTGTTCGGCCGAGGGGCGTTCGTTTGGGTTGGGGGGAGGGGTCTTCCTGTGCAACACGTAACTTACGCCACATATGCAGCAGCCATGTGTTTGTGGAAGGGGACAGGTTCAGATCCAGACACAGGAGGTTATCATGAGCCGTCGCCAGGCAGGATGAAAAGAGAAGTATACAGAGAAAACCAGCAAAGGGGTCAAGGTAATTAATGTAATTTGAGCTGGCCTGTTTGTCGGCTGTAGGGTCTCACAAGCCGCAGAAACGATGGGCAATGGCGCGAAGGCTCATGTTCGTCCCAACACCACTTTTCGAGGCGCAGCTGTTGCGGAACGGGGTCTGGCAACTGTTAAAAACAGGGTGAAGAGAACAAAAAACCGGCCCAAAAAGGTCAGTGATATGCGTTGATGAACATTTTAGAAAAAGAGAAGGAGGGGGTGCCAGCCAACGGAGTGTTTGCCCAGCACGCCCAGGTAACGAGCGGGAGGCTCCTGCACTGCCCGGCACCATTTCCGAGTGCCACGAGAAGTGGACTGCAGTGGGCGAACCCCCCCAAGCAAAGGTCCGATCCACTGGCGAGCCTTTCTTGAAACAGGGCCAACTGGCAACGTCAACTTGTGTGAAGTCTTACTTTTGCCCGCTGGCCAACCAATCATGGCTAGGAAAAGCCTAAATAGCGGATATCTGCACAGGCCTTGTGTGAGTTTGGATGGGTGGTCAAAGGTGGGTTGGGGTCACGTGAAGGCGCGCAGCAACGCGACCCCAATCTCCCCGCGCGCGTCAATCGATTCGGAGTCCAAATGTGCTGCCTACCTGGCAATTTACCGGAATCACCCTATCAATCACCAGTCAAAGGCCATGTGGTAGTATCGACCATCTCGACATGCTTTTCGACAATGCCCGCCATCACTTCGTCGGGAGCCAGGCCAGAGCTCGCCGGCGGTGGGAGCAGCGCCCCGGTGTTGGAATTTCTCTGTCTCTTCACCCACGACTTGCAAAGGAAACAAAAACGATGGCAAGATGGACGCCTCAAGTATCATACCTTCAACAAGCGGGTTATGGTGTACGATGACCGGGGAAACTCTGTGGGCGACATGCACTGGCAGCGAGACTGGGACTTTGACGAGGGCGAGGAAATCAAGCTGGATCGGGGAGGGGTCATTGTGCAGGTTCAGGAGTGTGTTGGACGTCAAGACCAGGATTTGACTGATCTGTTGGACAAAAGAGCAAAGGAAAAGGAGGAACGTCAAAGCCGTACGGCGACGAGGGTGGCTCCTGCGGCCTTTGGACTACGCACGCCAGCAATTCCATCAAGGGTATATCCAGCTCAAATTGCCGGTCCCCGATCGCATCACAGGCGTCTTGACCAGGTCCTAACTCCGACGGGCCACCATGGACGAGCTCTCGTGCCGACTGAATCACCTTTTGAGCAGCGTCAGCGAGACCAGGAGACTCCTGATGCCAACAAGGAGACTCCCTTGGCGAAAAGGAGGAAACACGACGATACGCCCCCGAGCAAGCTAGGCTACGCCCAGAGTTTGTTTGGTGCTCCTCTCACTCTCTCGGCGGTACCCATGAGCTCAGCCCCTGTCCGGCGGCCTGCGGCATCAGCGACGCGGATGCATTCTGGCCCTGCGTCCTCCCAAGAAAATGATTCACCGGCGGGAGAGCCCGAAGAGCGGGAATCCCACCCGTCAAAGAGGAGAAAGCGTGATGACACGCCGCCTAGTAAGATGGGGTATTCCCAGAGTCTGTTTGGCGCCACCCTCAACTTATCAGCTGTCCCTATGAGTTCTGCCCCGGCTCTCCGACGAACTACATCGGTGGCACGAGGGCATACAGAACCACCCTCCTCTCAAGAACATGGGCCACAGCCACAAGAACCGACCAGTGGGGTCCAGGAGATTCCAGTTAACCCTTCTGTACGAGCTGGTCTTTCACGGTCTACTGTAACAGCGCCTCTCTTGAAGACTCGTTTACCGCCCTTGGGAAGCGCCTCGAAACCTGCAGCAAAAAACGAGGCTGATAAGGCCCGCGCAAGACAGAGAGATGTTGCGGTTGAGTTTCCGGCGGAGGATACTCGCATGAATTCTGACCGCGGGGACAGTGATTTATCTGCGACGAGGAACCGAAACGCAGCGAAATATATCGACAGAGGTCAGATCCGTGGCCAGAAAGTTGCACCAAAGCCGAAAAAGCCACCTCCGGTGGTAATTCTTGATCACGATGATGATGATGATGATGATGATGATGATGACGATGTGGAGGGCGGAGAGGATGACACGAATCTCAACGACAAGAACCAGGCGCCTATACAGGACAAAGATATTGGAGAGAGTCGCACGCTTCCCAGGAACATGCCCAAACAACGTTCCAAGAAGCCCACGACCAAGACGCCCTTCACAAATGCAGCCCTGGCCACGAAACAAGCGAAATCATCGAAGAGCACAAGGAACAGCAAAACAAAAAAGGCCCAGGACACTGGCTCTAAACTCCCAGTCGAAGATGAAAGAGCACCCGAGGGTCTTGGACTTAATATGCCACCTGAAGGGCCAAGGGCACAGTTGCGTATCCAACCACACCAGAAGCGTGGCCTGCTTGTGTCTAATGAGAAAGGAAACAAGTCCAAAAAGCCCAAAGTACGCCATGCTCAATCCCATGCCGAGTTGGAATACGATGGAGAGCCTTTTGTTCCAAATCCAGCGCCTATGACCATGTCAGAGGAGGACGGTCCGTTTGCGTCCTTTGTCGATGCTCCACAAGAGGCACAGACAGTCCCCAAGCCCAAAACACCGTCTCTCCTGCAAGATGTACATAGCTTGGGAGCCAGACACGAGAGCCTGGCAAATTCTCAGGCCAGTAATGAGGATCAGCCATCAAACATTCGGGCCAATGATGACCCATCTCTGGACTCTAACAAGACTTTCTCCGTTCCTCCCCCTGCCGCTTCAAAAACCAATATGATGGGGGCCAATGACGAAGGCACTGCAGGCCTTTACGGCGCTGAGCGCTCAAGAAAGAGATCACCAGGTCAGCAAAGGACGGTCGATTTGGTCAAAGATACCACCCAGGATCGAGGGAGCACCGTTCAACCTCCGGAGTTGCCGCGAGCCCCGACAGGACCGATCGCTGAACCGCAAACCAGCCCCAGGTATCTGCAAGGCAAAATGACAGATGAAGAGGACGCCAGCGAGAGGCCTCGAGCTCGTCTACCCAGGAAAAAGGTGACATTGGCACTGGATGAAAGTGACAATGACAGCCTGCCAACTCGCAAAACCAAGAAGCGAATGACAATGGCATTAGACGAAAGCGATGATGAAAGGCCAGCAAGCTGCCAGAGCACCAGCCGAGATATATCGGTATCAGAAGAGAGTGCGGGTGAGAAGAGGCCAATGCGCCGCAGTAACAGACGCACAGCGAAAGCATTTGTTGGAAGCGATGATGAACGCCCGCCTACACGTCAGACCAGGAGCAACACAACAGTAGCAGTTTCGGAAGAAAGCGACAGCGAGGAGCTTCCCCAAGTCCCTGTGGCTCCAAGGCTAGCCAGACTCAGGAAGAGTGTCAAAAGCAGGGAAATCATTGGCTTCATACCGTCGAGTTCCCCCGTCATGGAGGTGGCTACCGTAGCAGAGCCTCGGCCAGCCCCTATTCCGACTTCTTTGCCAGCTCCTACCCCAGCTCCTCTGCCCTCTTCTTTGCCACCTCTTTCCCTAATTCCCGGTTTGATGGACACACCCCCAGGTCTAGAGGCCAACGACATGAGCTCTCCGGGCTATTCCAATGGCCCGAAGGCTCCCGCGCCAGGAACAGGCATCCCCAAACCAGAGCCCGTGACTGTGCCAGTCGTACAAAGTCTACAAACCAGCAGGGTGTTGCCCCCTTTGCCCGCCTTCGAGTCAACAACAGACGTACCTTCGGCTGTTCGGCGGGACAACTTACAACCTACCATCACAAGCCGGGAAACACCGGTCAAGGAGTCTGCCCAAGCTCCCACGCCAGCCCACCTCGAACAATCTATCTGCGATTTCCTGAGTGGCGAGCCCCCGCACCACCACCTCGCTTCTGCTCCGGGGGCAGATAAGGCTGGGCAGTCTGCAGTTGCTCATCAGCTGACCATGCCATCGCTCGACACGAGCTCGACTTCTGTATCGATGCGACCAGTTTCTGCCAAGGGACCGAATTTGATTGCAGAAGAAGCGGAGGGTGTCTCAAGGTCACACGAAGCCGTCAGTCATCAAGAGGTGCATGAGAACCCAATTGCCGTCCCGCGGGATGTTGGGGTTTCTCTGGTTGCATCAAATAACCCCAACGGTCAAGCACCGCAGGTTCCACCTGCTGCTCCTACTAGACCGAAAATCGCGAACCCGGCCACTCGCGGCCGTAAGGCTGCCCTCAAATCACACGCTGCTGGTCAAGTTCCCCAATCTATTCTACCGTTGGAACCCGCCCCTGTACGGCTGACTGTGCGGCCACCTGAGACAGCACGGCCCGGAGCAGCCGCTGGCGGGCGCCCTAGATATAAGATGCAGCTACCGGGCTTTACCTCGGCGAAGGAGACAGCAAAGGACTCTGGGGTGGATGTCGGGCCTTGGAGCAGGGAGGCCCATGACCTCTTCGGGAGTGGCCGACCTTCTGAGGCTTAGGTTGCTGGTTTGCATACTAGGTCTATATTGAGGCTCATGGAGTGTGCAGTGTATGGTTCTTAGAGTAAGCAGGCCGGCCGGTTGATGTTGAATGGATTCAGGGACGCCAAACCCTGCGGGCGGATGGAGGCCATATTAAGAGTCAAGTCGTTGTACTGTTTGCTCTGGGTACATGCTCACCGTGGCGCCGCTGCGTTCAATTTGCTGGTCTGATTCGGAGCTTTAGTACTACGTACGAACTTATGTCGAGATGAAGTATTTATCAACAAAGCATGGGCGCATCTTTGCACCACACTGAGCTCAAATGCTGTACACAAACCACCACTGTATCCTGCCGCTGGGATATGCACTTCACCTCCTACCCGTTGGAGCCGGCAGACAGACACGAGAAAATATACATCCGGTTACCAAATCTTGGGTAGGTAGTTGTACACAAGGTGAATCATCGCACCACGCTCGGGTAATAACTGCCACTACCAGGCACCACGCAAGGGGACCAGTCAACCAGACGGGCGGTAATGCGCATCCCGGTTGCCTAGGGCCTGCTGTACAACACTGTAGTCCATCGAGTCAAAAGTCATCACGGTACATCTTTCAGCTCGCAGAGGCAAGGCTATTTTGGATGCTTCATGATCCATCCAATCAGAGCGGCAGCTCCCCAAACCAGCAGTTCATGTTTTTCGGCTACGATTCCCTCATCCGGGCCTTTCGACCGGACTAGCTGGGCCGACAAAGGCATGGATACCAGGTAAGGAGGCTATGGTGAGAGGAGGACGGCCGAAGCAGTATATTTGCCATCTACATCCATCTGCATGGGAAAGGCCCGTATGCCCTCCGACCTAGTCAAAACATACCTTTTCCATTGGATCAGATATATGGGGACTTTCTCGACACGCCGGCAGGAATCCCCACCCAACAATGTCACACAAGGGTCTCAGAGATCGGTTCCTCACTTTCTTTCCTACCCACTCAGTCCCCGGCAGTGCCTCGTGGTCACTCTTTGTGGGAATTTGCTCGGACTAACCAATGGACCACCCGGGCCTGTAACTCCTCCAAAACAGAACCCCGAGAGTTCTCCCCAACCGGATGCCGTCCCGTCTAGTTTCCATATTGCCATCCACATGACTCAGCCGCATGTGGCATCGAACGCACAATACGACGCGGATAAGGTGGGAGAGGGGGCTGTTCAGCAAACCCTTTCTGCCCCTTGCCAAGGAAGAGAGACAAGAGAAAGACACGAACAGTATGGCATCTTTGCACTTGTGCCACGCCCTCACTGTCACCAGCTTGTCTCGTTGTAAAAGGTCGAGTGACCATGATTCCACACACCACCACCACCACCACCACCACCACCACCAAGCATCACAACCGGCGGCAGCTCACTTACAGACACGTTGCTGGCCGTTTTCTAGACCGGATCCACTCGCCCAAGGCACGTCTTGGAGGGAGAATAGAACCTGGGAGACTACTACGACAATGTACAACGGTATACGTATATACCTAGACACGTATACTTTACACGACCGCAAGGCCCAACCCAACTACGGTACTCGCCTATTCTCATACACCTTTTCCTTGGGTATGATAGGTAGCTGATCACCCATCAGCCGCACCTCAACAATTGGAGAAGGAAAGACATACGATCTAACCAGTTTCCAGTTTTTGGTAGGCGTTCTCTTGGGCCTTCCTTCCTCCCCCCCCCCCAACACACACGCACACCCACAACTGGACGATGGCCACCTGCGAGCCAAGACAAAGCTCGTACAAAAATACAACATCAAAAGTTCAATTGGAGATTCTCATTGGGGCACGCAAAAAAAAAAAAAAAAAAGACCCGGATGGGAGGGCCGGACGGGGGCTGGGGGCCCAATGAGAAATTGGAAACAACGAGGGAGAGCTTATGAAAGATTTCCATATTTTATTACAACCCGGAAAAATAAGGCCGAGCGAATGAGGTTGTAAAATGGGCAAGGTGGTACAAGGCACAGACAGAGGGGTGGGGGTTTAGACAAAACAAAAACGGCCGAAAAGATATCTTTTCTTATGCATGCTGGGGAATTGCGGATGGGATGGGGGTAGGGGGGAGGATAGGCAACGCGTGGTGGTTTGGTAGCAGATGCGAGGGGATGACGAAGCAAAGTGACGGGAGAGATGGGTGTGAGAGATGGGATGAACCAGACAGAACCAAGAACTTGTTTGACGCACGTCGGGATCAAAATCTCTCTCTCAAACTACCTTGTAGGGCTGAATAGAAAGATGAGACCTGGTGAGTGGAGTGGTTCCACAGAATGGAAGTGTGGAACAGGGAAGAGGGAAAGCATCAGCGCTAAGCCGTGTGGGGATTAGAAGATGGTTGATGACTTCGTAGAAGGGCAGTTGGATCACAAGATGTTTGGGGATGGGAGTCGATTCGATCGGGCGAGAGGAACGGGGGGATGTGATGGGATTACAAAGACTTACGATCGTGGGCTATTACTAGAGTATCAGAAAATGGATGCGGTCATCGTAGCATTCATTCTGAGAGGGAAAAACGTCGGGGAGCGAGCTGTGCGATGGTTGAACGAGAGAGTTGGAAGTTGGATGGAAATTCCATTTGAGTTTAGCGTTCCCGAACGCCACTTGGTTGTCGGCCGCCAGTGGACACAATGGACAGCAGCCTCGCCTTAGTGCAAAAACATGGCTGTCTACGCCTCTCCTAATTGCATTAGCCCAGTAGCACACTTACACAGCACGAACAAAGTGCGGGGGCATCTCCCCCCATCTCCAGCTCCTCCTCACCACTCGTCAATTCCCGTCATTTTGCCCGGCTCTTCGTGGTGCGCGAACTACTCCCCACACAGAGCAGCCCGAAACACTCGTCCGCAACACCCAAAGAAGCACTTTCCATTGCGGCCCTGTCTGGCGGTGAGGAAGAAAGCCGTCGTACGCTCTCACGGCTCCCTCCTCCACGTTCCGGCTCGCCGAGTCTCCGCACAATACAACGGCTACGCCCTTTGGAAGCAGTCGCTTTCAACGGTTTGGCCCGGGGGGATGATGCGGCGTTTCTGGTCTTGTGTCCCCCCCCTCCCCCCCCCGCTCCCCCCCTGGCTTACGTGTTGGTTGGAGCTTCAGCTTGTCGCGCTCTTCCTGTTGGTCTTTAATCACCATTGAACGCCGCACGTCTACCTTCACACACCCGGCTCGCCATGGCCCCCTGGCCATTACCTAGCTGCTCCGAGTGAGAGCCACAACGGATGGAGGCGGGTTGGAATGGGTGTGGATGGTGGATTACCTGCGGTGTGGATTATGGTTTTGGGTTGCACTCACTCCATGTCACTAGACACCCCCATCTCCCACCTCGCCGCCCATCGCCCCGTCAGTCTGTCGGCTCTGGGGAACGTTCGTCTGCCATCACGTTCGTGAATCGGAAGGGGAGGGGGGGTGGTGAAGCCTCGCATGGGTGGGGGGAGGGGGTCACCGCTCGGACTCAACGGCGCCGTACACTACACACCTCTCAACCATCGAGAACAGCGGTAGGTACGTGATGGGAGTGCGCCATGCTTCCTTTTCTAGGTTGATCACACGAAAGCCCAGAGAAGTCTCTTGCTTGCTTGGTTCGTCAACATCCTTGCTCGAGCATGGATGATATTTAGTTCCGTTAGGTCCCGACTGCTCGGGTCGCCTTCTTTTGTTCGGCATGTTGATCTCAGCGCGCTGTTGCCAGAGCACAATCAGGCTGTGTGTGCCTTGGGGTGTGGTCTGCCTTGTCTTGCTGGCAGCTACAAGATTCACACCGGCCCGCCGCTTCTTTTTTGACTCTTGCCTACCCCGGGATTTTTGTTTCTCTGCCCTCCATCATCTGTCTTTGTGACCTTTGCAACTGGTTGCGGGGGTGGTGATCGATCCAACCTACAACGTTGTCGTCCGCTATTCTCATTTGTTGCCCCTTTCTTTTGTCATACTATATCGATACAACTTTCCTCCTTTTGCTCGTTGGGTGCTACCTGATACCACAGCCTTGCCTCACCATTTTCACGCCCTCGGCTCGGAGCTCGTCACCTTGCCTGCTTCCCCGCCGACAGCTTTCTCGATGTCCCGGCCGCAAAAACGCAAGCTCGCCTCCGGCGTGTCTGAGCCTAGGCCGAAGCGATTCTCGTGGCGAGGCAAGGGTCCAGTCCCTCGGCCTACCCCAAGCGAGGAGACCCAGGCGCTCTACGATATCTGGCAGCAGGCCGAGCGTGAAGTGAACCTAGCAGACCTGCGGAGGTTGAACGAGCCACCGACCTTTGTCGGCCATGACGAGTTTCTCCTCTCACCCTCGCAAGCAACTTCGAGATCTCGTTCCCCTTCCTGCGCCAGCACCACTCACTCGGTCACAAAGGCGATGAATGGTGTCGACCTCAACCAACAAGGATCGAAGTCCAAAAAGAAACGGGCCACGCGTACCAAACCGCTGAGCAAGCCTGCCAAGGCCAAAGCAGCGTTCATACGAAAGCTGGGAGCTTGTGAGGACTGCAGGAAACGACGTGTCGGGGTAAGATTGCTCCACCTTTGTCTGCGTCACTTGGGTTGCCTCTAACCTGGCCTTGCAGTGCACTCGCGAACACTGGGATCTTCATCTCTTCGAGGAAGCATGGAGGGTCAAATACGGACCGTTGCCCGACGAGGAGGATATCAAGCCTACTCCGCTACCCGAATTAGGCGTGGAATATTTCAAGACCGAGTTCCAACTCACCCGGATTCTAACCCCCGAGGTCGCCGCCGCACCACCGCCTCCAGACCCGAGCAACCGGTACCAGGCTCGGTTCAGTGAACTGGATGACCTTGCCGGTGTTGGAGGGCAGGTCGTCTCCGCTGCTGGCGCGCCGCTGGGACCGGTCGATGAGGAGATTGACATCGACAATATGCTGCAGACATTGCAGCATGAGGACCACGAGGAGCCGCCGCTCATCCCTGTCGAGTTTACCGACTTCTTTGACACCGACTTCGATCTGGACTTTGGCGGCGCTGACATTTTTCAACCAGCCCCCGAGACGAGCTTCAACCCCGAGCCCGCAGACGATAGCTGGCTTGGAGACACAGATTATCAGTGTGTGCCTGTAGGCAAACAGACCTACAACTTTGTCGGACAGCTGCAGTTTGAATGTCTCGGAGCCTCTGCCGCCGAGCATGACGGTGTGGAATTCCCTTGTGCGCAACGCTTCAACACGTTAGACTTGCTCATCGAGCACTTCTACAGCGCGCATTATGTTTTTGAGAATCACGAGGAGAGAGGAAGGTGCCTGAGCTGCTTGCTCGACTGGGATCTTACCAGCGCCGAGGAGTTAACCGAGCCTTGCAAGCAGTGTGGCCAGGACCGGCACGAGAAGTGGTACTGGGGATTCATCAGCAAGGGCACACCGCCGAGCTTGACTTCGGGGACCACGTCGGTGAGGGTTGCCAGTCAAGACGGATATGGCTACGGGATGCAGCAGGGAGGGTCGCCGTTTGGGAACCAGTCGACCGATCTCTACGGCCATGGCAGCGGGGGTGGGTATGACTTTGGTGGAGGATTCCTCTTTGGGGACTACGGGGACGGGCGCAATCAGTACTACAAGGCGGCCCAGCACCTGACGAAGCAGCCGTACAAACCCACGATCAACAGAGGCAGCAAAGCGATGCCGGCTTTTGGGTCTAATCCGGCTTCCTCTATCTTCGTTGGATTCTCCCTTCTTTCGGTCATCGCCACACGCCTGTATTTGGCCGTCGGAGCTCCCTATCAGCCAGCCTCTTCATTGACGGTGTCGAGCCTAAGTTGGTGGGCGGCTTTCGTCCCAGAGTTGTCGGTTGTTTGCATCGCTGCCGGGTTGGTAGCGATGTGGCTGTTTCGACATGTTGTTCAGTATCGGGAGGATTCGGTATGTCCTTGCCCTTCTTGTCTCTGGTTGGCGTGATGATTGCTAATGTAAATGACAGCTGTATGCTGCCCTGAGTATAGCCAGAGCGGAGGCTCTTGAGGGTTCCGTGAGAGCTGCAGTTGCTGCTTAAAAGACTTTGCGTGCGTTTTTCTTCTGTCTGGGCTTACACGGTAGATTACTATGACGCAAGTCAGAATTTTGGTTTTTGGTTTTTGGATACCTCTCCCACGCTTCTTGTGTTTCCTATCCCCTTCCTTTCCTTTACTCGACACATGGTGACTCGAGTGTCGGGTGGTGGTTTCGATACTTTCGGCCATTTCTTTTCTTCCTAATTCTCCTTGCAATGTTTCTTTCCCTGTACTGGCTTCTTAATGTCATGGAACCATCGGAGGACAACTGCCGGGTTTGGAGGAGGAAAATGTGTATTCAGCGACATTGGGTGGAATACTGCTTTTTGTACTGTCGAGTCATTGGTGATGAGGTAGGTGATGAGGTGATGAGGTGATGATGAGGTGATGAGGTGACGAGTTGCCGAGACGCTTCCGACTTCTTCTTCTTCTTGGAGAACACATGGGAGTATGACGGGCGAGATGACTTTACAACCTACCCTTATATATACCTCTTTCTTCTCAACCTTTGTCGGCGCCTACATGGATGTTTCCAATTCTACCTCGCATTTCTGCTCCTATCAATATCGCATCATGCCTACTGCCTACAGATCGTTTCATGCCAGTAACTTCAAGTATGGGTAAAATTCCGCCTGTCACATTGCTCAATCGAAAGAGAGCGAGGCTTTGTTTGTGTGACCTTGCAGGAGTAGCGCATGGGATCGAAAGCTTGAACACTGCCACGCAACTGCGAGATTGCATTGGACAGGAACCGACAGGCGGCAGAAAGACGGTGGAAGGTGCATCACCACCACCTCATCGGTTTAAAGTGCGGGGAAGGGAAGGAGTCATCGAGCTGGAGATGTTGAGATAGGTTTGTTGACCTTGATGGCGCCTTTGAGAACTTTGAGTCAGCTTGATCGAATGCAGGTTGTCGGGTTTGTGAAAAGGGGAAAGGAGGAGGAGTGAAAAGAGAGCAAAGGGGCTGTTTTCTTGGCGGGTGTGTTTTCGGCTGGCTGGGCTGGGCTGGGCTGGCCACCTCCGCACCCCCCACATGTCGAGAGGGTTGGTCTGTGAGGTCGTCTTCAACCTTGTGGGGAGAGCCTCAATTGACGATGGGATCGGAGTCTAGCGGCAAGCATAGAGTAGAGGCTTCAAAAAGTCTATTAGGAATGAGGCAGCCCAGGTGATCGGCCTGAGGCATCCATCCGCTCAAGAGAACTCCTGGGCCATTGTCTTGACGAGGTGGAGGTGATTGATGAACCTCAATTGAAGATTACTGATGGACCTCTAACAACACGGTGGAAACGGCAGGCTCGCTAAGAAAAAAAAGATCTTTGCAGATAGTGGGCATCTCAAAGAACAACAACAACCGCAACCACAACCACAACCACAACCACAACCACACCGCAACCGCAACCGTAACCATGATGGTGGTTACGTCGTTGGATCGATGAAGCGTGCCACTACGCAAACTCTCCTTGTTAATGGGGATATTTCCCCTTGACTCATCCGTCGCATCCAACCAATGGAGAGGGAATGAATGCCGGTTGGAGAAGGTGTGAGAGTTGGATGGTGGAAGGATACGGCCCTCCTGGGGAAGTGGTGCAGAGGCGGGCCCGCACCATTCCGTGTGAAGGCGCTCGCCGTGAAGTGCAACCATGCAAGCCACCCCGGTACGGGAGATGGTACCAGGTGGGAGAGGAATATTTTGTAGAACTTGGAGGATTGGAATTGAGGACGGGGTGGTGAGGAGGGGGGAGATATAAGAGGGATGGGGGCCGGAGTGGTTTCACGGTAGATTGTAGTGACGATGCCAGGTTTCAGATGACCTTTTCAGGTGGTGAAAGAAGCTTTTTGGGGGATTTTGCCACTGTGAAGGTTCACTATGGTCATCTGGTGATGCTCCCGCAAAGATGAAGCTGGGACAGAAATAAGATCGGACACCAAGTATATGACCCCACTCCAAGATTGAACCACGCTAGTCCTAATTCGACTCGCCGAAATACTGGGGGATCAACCTTCGCTGCGCCTTGATGACTGGTCTGGTTCACGCAACCTTGTTTGTTGGAATTCAAGCAGTGAAATATCGGCCTGACTCCTTCGGACGAAGCTCTTGTCTTTTCTCTTCTTTTTTTTCTCTCTCTCTACCGGTACCTGAAGGCTCGAAATAGTGTTGTTCAATTGCTTCCCAGCTCTTTTTTTTGCACTTGCACTTTGCACTGCCCGCCGCGGAAACGCTTCACAGTCAGTTCAAACAAACCTTACCAACAGGCAGCCGGAACTTCATCCCCCCCTGTCGTCTTTTGCTCTCTTGTTGCTTGCACCACACACCAATCAACCAGAGCTTCACAATTCCCATCACACGGATTGTAAGCACCAAAATCCGCAACCAAGTTGGCAACACACAGACCTCAGCTTCAAGTCCACCAACACCCCCTTTGGACGAAAACATCTTCCATCCCACACCACCACCACCACCACCACCACCACCACCACCATCACCACCACACCCACACTTCGAAATCACATCACAGTTGATCCCGACATCACACCTTGTCAAACACGCTGGTAACCAATCCCAGCCCGAGACTCCTGACATATCTCCACACCAACCTGCATCCTCAACTCGTCACGGGGTTGCGTTTGACACAGTACGTACAACGCAACCGTTCAACGCGATGGCCAACATGGCCCAGAACGGCTCGGCCGGGACAGCCTTCCATGGCTTCTCGGTCTACCAGCCGGCTCTAGGGGCCGCCCTCCAGTGGCTGCCCCAGGTCGGAACCCCTGAGCTCGATGCGATGATCCACGCTTTCCTTCCAGGCCCTGCGTCCATCAAGGACAAGAGAGCGCACGTCTCGATGGACTTCTTCGAGTATGCTCGCCAGACCGGAGAGACCATCAAGTTCTACCCCGTCCCCGCCACCTCCTCCTTCTCCCCTGCCGTCACCGCCTCCCCCGTCGGCTCCGCCATCTACGACTCCGGCTACGCGTCCGGCTACGGCACTTCCCCCGTCACCTCTGACCAGAGCTGGACTCAGTCGCCTGTCTCCTTTGCCCCCGTCGCCTCCTTTGAGGAGTTCACTCCTGCCTCTACCTCCAAGAAGGCCGCTGCTTCCCGCCAGCACACCATTGACTTCTCCAGCCACCCGGGAATGCGGATCATGACCAAGGACGGCAGGGACGTCACCAACTCGGCTTCTCGCGGATGCAAGACCAAGGAGCAGCGCGACCATGCTCACCTGATGAGAATCATCAAGGCATGCGATGCCTGCCGCAAGAAGAAGGTCCGCTGCGACCCTAGCCACAGGAAGCGCTCTGCTTCCCAAGCCTCCACTTCCCCATCCGAGCAGAAGAAGTCTGCAAAGAAGGCCAGGAAGTCCGAGCAGCAGCCTTCTGTGCCAACTGACCAGCTCGTTGCCAACGCTTTCGCCGCGGCGCCCGAGACCACCACCTCCCTCCCGGTAGCGTTCGATGCTGACCTGGAGAACCTCTGGAACGACTTCATTGTGGAGCAAGACCCTGTCGTTCTCCCTACCGACTTCACCTTCAACGACCCTCTCTTCGACGCTTTCACCGACTCCCAGAGCTTCTACAACCCCAGCTCTGGCTCTTCTTCCGCCACTTCGCCTTCGCAAGTATTCACTCCTTTCACTCCGGCACCCGCCACCGCCTCGCCCGCCACTCTCCTTGTGGATGCACCGGAGAACCTTCTTCCTTACATGAACCCTGGCGTCGACCTTGGAACCAGCTATGTCGACTTCAACCTCTACTCACCCGCGTCCAGCTACTATGATGAGGACCCCATCTTCCAGCAGACTGATGTTGGCAGCCGACACGCTGCCGCCTCGTCCAGCGCCGAATACAGTGGCCCGTCCTATCAACAACAGCAGCAGGTTCATCCCGGCTCAAGCCACAACCTGGTCCTAGCGGACCAGAACAGCTCTGATTACTACTACGAATCTGAGCGCCACTCTGAGCCGGTACAACATGTTCCTGAGGCCCTACGCGCAGACCACCGCTCCTCCTCCGCCGCCGGCACTGAGGTCTACCTGCAAGCAGTTCAACAGACCTTATACACCGGCCAGGATGACAGCACGGTTGCCCACGACGTCCAGTCGTCGGTTAGTCCGAGCACATCCACCGGAGCCAGGAGGGTAAGTTCACCATCACTATCACCATCACCATCACCCTCACCGGCACCCTTGCTGCGCACGACTGCGATGAACACGGGCACTGTTCTCCAGTCAGGCGTACCTGGGCACTCTGTCGCCATAACACCGATTGCCACCACAACAAGCACGGCTGCCATCGATGGCCGATGCTGTGTGGAGGAAATCGTGGGTGGCAGCTGCGGCGGCGTATCTGCCGACCTTGGAATTCAACCAAAGTCTGGCAAACAAAGCCGTGTCAAGCAGTGCTTCGATGGGGTAAAGGCGGTATTGGCGACGATGATGGTCGCAAACTCCCCGACACGACGTCAACCTGCCGTGAAGGACGCTGCCCAGGAAGGCTTCCAGCCGTCCATGGCGCGTCTTTCTCAGCTTGTCGTGCTCGGTCTTGTTTCGATACTCTGCGCGTCTTATGGGACGCATCCTGGGGGTCAAGTCGACAGCCTCGCCAACATGCTGAGCATCATGACTCTATCTTTGGGCTACATAGCACTGTGGTGTTGTGGAGTCCCGGGGACGACCTCGGTCGCCTCGAAACGCTTGCAAATACCAATGGCCAAAATCCAGGCCCTCGGCTCTGCCTCTCAGGGGGTTCAGTCGAGGGCATCTCAACGGGGGAGAACACTCCTCCGATCAATTGGCTACGCCAGATCATCCATCATGGTGTAGTACCATGGGTGGTCTGGTGGATGTTGCTGCAGGTGTGGGAAAAAAAGATATGAGGATGTAGTGATGTTTTTGCATGTTGACATTAGCGAGCGCATTTGTTTGGTTTGGCATATGATACCCAGGGTTTGGTTTTACAACGGATTTCGGAACATGTCGGTCGTTCATTTCCTCGACGTCGTTTGGGAATGGATGGCTAGGTGGACTGTGGAGATGCCTCGTACTGATGATGGGAGCGATGCTTTGTTTTCTGCTATTAGCGTGATTGCTATTTCGCTGGATTCCGTTCGGGATAGTGTTAGCTAGTACAGGGAGTGTTTGCTCTTTTTTTTGTTCAGACTTGACAATAGAGGCCCCTCTGCAGGCCATCGAAATTAAAAACGAAAAAAAAAAAAAAAAAGAAAAAAAAAAACTTCATAGGTTCCTTTGCTGTGATGTGATGTGACATGTTGGGGGAATGCTATTCATCTTTGAAGAATGACCAAAAAAAAAACAAGATGAGACAGACTTGGGAGAGTAGACATGTCCAAGCCTGTCTCAAGGCATGATCTGGTGAAAAGGAGACAGTGGCTTTCTGGATGTCAACAGAAGCAAACAGCAGTCGTCCGTAATGGGAATGCAACAAAGCGAGCCTTTATGCAAACGTTGGGGAGAGAAACCGTGGCGTGCATGTACCGGGGTCCCTGGCGAGCGCAGAAGGTCCAGTCATTTTTTTGCCGCGACCCACAGGAAATTGCTGCACAAGGAACACACAAAGTGGGCCTGAGATGTTGTTCACTCGGTTTTCACTCCTCATCATGTCTGGCCTCTGTCTGACCATTCCAATGTTCCCATACTGCTTTTTCCAGCCTGTATGAGGCGGAAAGCCCTCAAGTGACGCCAACTGCCCTCCAGACAAGGGAGTTTCTTTCTACCTGGGCCGATCCCGTGAGCCAAAACATTGCATCTCAACTTTCTAAAGGAAGGCGAGAAGGAAGGCGAGAAAACTCCAAACGCATCCTGCGAGTGCAATCGTTCATCTCAAAGAATAGCCCTTGCCGGCTCCTCAGCATTAGTACCTACTCACCAGCACACCGTCGTTTACCGGAAACACCTTCCTGTTTCCGTGGCATTCTGGTCTTTCAAGGCGGGTGTGTGCTAGGCCAGGCCAGGCCAGGCCGTGACTGCAAACCTGTCTTGTGAATAGAAAAAGGGCCCACGTATCCGAGAGCAAAAATGGCAGTCACTCTGTTCCAAGCCCTTTCGGCCACTGGCCTCAAAGCCTTTGCCTTTTTGCAGGCTCTCCTATGGTTCCCCGCCGGCGTCTTTCGACAGGCACTCGCACTTCTTTCAGCAGCGACATCATCCCCCCACCGGCCGAGCTCGCCAACTCTTCCCCGTACCTCTGCTCCTGCTGCCGGCTCTCTTGGAAATTGCAACAACACTGCCGACAACAACCAAGCCGACCTTCATGTCAACCAAGATAGCGACGCCGACAACACCGACTTGACAATGGCTGGGGACACCTCCTCTGCCTCCTCGCGGCAGCAGCAGCAGACGTTGTCGAAGAATGCACCTCTCCCCAAGGTCGTCCCGGCCATGCCAAGGTTCGGCCCGGCCTCGTTGAAGGAGAATGCCCCTGCGGCTTCTGCTGCCAGCCCTGCCGTTACGACCAACAATTCGACCGACGAGGTCGCCAACGGCGTTTCCCGCTTGAGCCTCCAAGAGAGTGCTGCTGCTAGCAATCGTGTTCTTTCGGCTTCGGATGGAAATGCTGGTGCTGGCTCGACCGCCGCTCCCGCCGAGAATGGCGGCACTGCGACTTTGAGCAAGGGAAATTTTGTTCAGTCTAACGGCGCTCTACCTGACATCTTCGGCGGCGACGACGACGAGGCGCTGGCCACTCAGGAGGTGACCCGCGCTCCTGCTGTCCCGTTGACTCACAGCATCTCGCAGACTAGTAAGCTGAAGGAGATGCCGCCGCCTACGATTCAATTCGGTGACGAGACGCTGCACATTCTGGAGAAGGAAGAGACACCTGAGCAGGCTGCTGAGAGGGCTGTTCACAGTGGGTTCATGAGGGAGGCGTTGGATATGGTAGGTTTCAAATTTCTTTCTTTTTTTTTTTTTTTGTTTTTTTCGTCTTTTGTTTCCACCCAAGAGGTGGTTGTTGAGAGTTTGTGAGCTATGGTCAGATGAAATTTCGGGCATGCGGACAGTCGGACATCAGCCCTGACTTGTTGGATTGGCTCTCTACTCGAAGGCACCCTGTTGTCCCCTCCCCCTGCCATCAACCTCTCGTTTTGGAAAGATGGATTTCCGGAATGAGATATGTTAGGCTGCTTTTTTTTTTGTTTCATTTACACAAGGCTTCGGGATCCCCTCCATTAGTCTGGTTACACGACTTTTGGCTCGCATCAGACTTGCTGCTGTCGGCTGCATCGGTCTTCGGCATGTCCTACCTTGACACGCTCAGCCTCTTCACTCACCCGTATCACCGACATGGCTTGTCCATCGCTTGCTAACATGTCCACCGCAGGCCCGACTTGCCCTCCGAACAAACGAAACACCGGTTGGCTGCGTGCTCGTGCACAACGGACGTGTCATCGCCCGGGGCATGAACGCAACCAATGTCAGCCGTAACGGCACCCGTCACGCCGAGCTCATGGCCATTTGTGCCCTGTTGTCCTTCGCATCCGAGGCCGACACCGAACCTGCCCGTCCTGTCAAGGCCATCGTCCCTCTCGGCGACAAGACCAACTCCCAGCAGGCGGAAGTCGACGAGGAAGATGCTCTCTGGGGTGACGTTGACCCCCGTGATGGGCATCTCTTTCCCTACGGCCAGAAACTTCACCCGGCTCCGCGTGTTGATCCCTCGGTCATCCAGGAATCTATTCTCTACGTCACGGTTGAACCCTGCGTCATGTGCGCGAGCCTGCTGAGGCAGCTCAAGATCAAGAAGGTTTATTTTGGAGCGGTCAACGACAAGTTCGGTGGGACGGGGGGCGTTTTCCGGATCCACAAGAACTCGCCTCACTCGATGGCGAGCGCGCCGCCTTCGCCCGCGCCGAGGAATGGGAAGGGACTTGCGAGACCGGTTCTGGAGCGGAGGCCGGTGTCGAGTGCCGATGTCACGACCGACGCGGCGAAGGCTGGAGGAGCGCCTGTGATGGCAGGACAAGAAAGTCGGGAGGTTTTGAGTCCTGACGAAGAGGTGAAGGGGGGTCCGGACAATAGTGTGCTCGACCCGATTGACACGTCGCATTTGCCGGGGGACGGGGGCAATGTCGAGCGTGGGTATGAGGCCGAGGGGGGATGGGGGAGGGATGAGGCTGTCACGCTGCTGAGGCAGTTTTATGTGCAGGAGAATAATCGAGGTATGTTTTCTCTGGGGAGGACCGCAAAGAGGGTTGATGCTGACAGGGACAAAACAGCTCCTGTCCCGAGAAAGAAGGAAGGCAGGGCTGCGAGGTTGGCGGCTATGATGGAGAGGGATGGTCATGCTGGGGGACCTATGATCGACCCCAACTCTACGGCTCCTCCGCCAGGTGACTGCAATGGTGGGGCTGAGACGCCCGAAGCTGTTGGGACGCCGATCATGGAGACTTGTCCTCTGGCTGGGGATGAGAATAAGGAGAATGAGGTTATCACGGCTTGAGGGGTTGTGATGATGGCATGAATTGACGGGAGTGTGGGTGCAGTGTAAGAATATGCGAGGGAGGACGGATGCATTATTTTGGAGTTTAAAAATGAAAATCATCATGAGGGCATTTGGTATTTGGGGACGGGACAGGAAGGTGTTGGGTGGATAGGAACATTGGGGGGAGGGAAGCATTTTCACACATGGTTATTTGTTTGTTTGTTTGTTTGTTGGTGCTGACCTTTAGATTAGCCAAGCACTCGCAGATATCCCTAGATTTATTTCTGCCTCACGGCTTGTTGGGAATGCATTAGGGTTTTGAGATGATGGTTCTGTGTTGACCCAAAGATGTTTGTGAAGTGACCGCCCTTCCCTTGCCTTTGCAAATACATATGTCTGAGGTAGGGGTTAGTGGCTGTCATGTTTTGAGTTTTGGGGTTGTGATACTTGGTGATAATCGAGGACTCGTGGTCACGAGCCTGGCTGCCCACACTTGGAGGAGATGAAAGTTGAAGCAAACCCCAGTTCACACCCACATGATCCAAGCCGTGACCACTTTGATGTTCAGGTAACCAACCAGACGGGAAGGAAATCAATGTATTCCCCTCATCTCCAACCAGCTAGCTGCCCCTCCCCCCCCCCTTACCAAGATGTTTACAAGCCTGCATTGCATATATGTAGGCAACACGGTTAGTTTTTCGGACCTGAGCTGTTTGAGCTGGCGAATGAGAGGCTGAGCCTTATCAGCTCGGGGGAGCCCAGACAAACCACACCCCGCCTCTAGGATTTGGACCCCTTCTTCCATTTGGGAAGCAGGAGAGTTAGGTTGCATGTCAGAATTGGGATAGGAAATCGCCGAGGGGCAAGACATGTGTCGGGATCCCCGTCGTCGTCGTCGTCGTCGTCGTCGTCGTCGTCGTCGGGGTTTCTCACTTCTCCTCAAAGTGGGGATTGGTCCCGTGTCAAAGCAACATGACTGTGTGTGGGAAGCTCTTCCCCGATCAGGGGTTTTTTTTTTCGAGGTTTGATAGCTGATGGCGCACTCGCAGACGTGAGCCTAGCTGGCTCTGTCTGTCTGTCTGTCTGTCGGTCTGTCTGTCTGTCATCAAGGCACAGGACCGG